AACTGGTCCATATGCAAATGATAAGAGACTGTACAGTATTTAGCCCTAAATGAGACTTCTATACCATACCCCACCCTCACTTACTTGTTATCATTTAGAAGAGAGTTAGACACAAAAGTGCTAATTCAATGATCATTAATTCCAATTGAGACACTCGAAATGGAGAAACTAGGTCCTAAGTCTGAAAATTAAAATGAAAAATTTTAGTCTATCTTTCATGAAATTAGGAGAACTTTTAAGAAATTCACTTTAATCCCAATAAGAGAACATTAATATACCCAGTACAAAATAATAATCCTCTGAGAGGAAAAGATGATACATATTCCCTACTAGATGATGGAGAAAATAATAATTAAAGATTAATGCTGACTAATGTGAAAAAACAAAACTTTGGTACTTATAAAATAAAAACCACGGCCATTTCCTCAGGCTTTGTCTAATATGTATTATCAAGTACGGCCACTTGGAGAAAGTGGAGTAAGGCCACTCTGGAGAAAGTTCAGGGAAACATCATCTTTGCGTATAATATTAATGGTCTAATGATGTTCAAAATCATTCAGCACTATCTTGAACTACGATGATAACATAAAGCCATCAAGAGTGAAGCTAGGCTAGCTGAAAAGCCCTGCATACAGGGTGTCTTCCTATTCCCATCTGCCCGGCATTTGGAGAACACTGCCAACTTTGTGGAAGTAAATCCTGTTGATACTGTGTTGGTTAAACTCCAAACATGTATTAAGTGACACTGGAACATATGTTAATCATAGAGAGAAAATATGAAGCAGCCCTTCTCCTCCAAGAGTTTTCTATCTGATCAGAGAGACACATAAGTAAAGAACTTATTTCAGCAGATTGGTTTCTATGAATCATAAAGAAATAGTAGAGAAAAAGTTGTGAATTTTAAACATCAATAATTCAAGAAAACTACCTAGGAAAAGTCAGGAACCTTGAGCAAAGTATTGGTATGCACTGGAAGGTTTCATTATTTGTTGTCGAAGTGAACACTTTCTAATTATTGAAACATTAGAAATAACCTAATAAAATAACACCTGCAATCTAATACCACCACCTAGAGTTACACATAATAAAACTTTAGACTTTTTCCATTATTTTTCTACTTCTTTCTTCACATTTTTGAGTGAAAGTTTTCTGTTTTTTATATTTTATAACATCACATACATTATGTACTTTAAATAATTCATAACTTAAAATAAGTTTAGTAAACCTTAAATCTTTTTCAAACATGATTTTCATTTTCAACACATTAAAAAATGTTCCATAGTGTAGTGGCTATATTTATCTACAGGAGATATGTCCAATGTCTGAAACTAGATGTCTGAAACTAATAATACTGAACCCCTTAATAAATAGCTATTTTCACCAATCTTTCTCCTCTCTTTAGATGAGAACTTGGAATAAAATTACAGACAATATGTTTTATGGTACAGCAATTTTTACTGAATAACCGGCATTCAATCATATGTCTGATGTCTGGATAGACATTTTAGATTCCTAGAAGACAATCTAAAAAGGCATAAACTATTTACACATAAATGTGAGTTTAAAATGAAGAAGCCTATTACCTTGCTATTCCATAAATCAGATTTGGTGGGTGGAGCACCAAAGCTGAAAATACATGTACAAATCAGATCATAGATAGACTGTTATGCCATGATCTGGAACTTATCTTTTTCCTGAAGGCACTGGAAATCCAATCACTTTTTGCTCAGTCTAATTGATTTACCCACTTAGGAAGAGTTCACTTCCTTAAGTAAATAAGAACGGTAATGGAATATCTAGAAAGGACCCTGGTAAAAAATATTCTTTCTTCAGGAAGAATAACTTATCTTCACAGCTGACTGTAGAAGAAGCCTGCTGTTCTAATTCACTCAGAATTTCTAATTTATGAATTAATCAAAAACTTTAGCTACAAATATTTTCATATGATATACATACATTATTTGTACTAAAACTCAGGTGAATGTTTTATATATAAACCTATCGTAAAATTTGAATGCTTTTTTCTTGAATATAGACCCACAAATCATAGATCAATAGACTGTTCTTTTGCATAAACCATACTCATAGATAATAATATTTATGACCTATTTTTATTTATTTAAGATAGAATGATATGTTCAAAATGTACAACACACTCCATCAAACAGCCTCACAAATATATTTTCAGACTTTCAAAATTTCTGTTAGTAAAATATTTTTCATGGTAAATTGTGTAAATCCTTTCTTAGGGCTGAATTTAGCATAGATTTCATTGTGAAATAAATTCAACTTAATATTTATTGATTTGAATACTCATGTTAATTAGTGAAATTGACTTAATCAAGTTTCTAAATGATTACCACCAACTCTTAGTATAAATCACACAAATCGGAATAGCAGAATGACCAACTGGCTGTGTACTTCCATTGGTCTGCTTTACAGGGGGAGGGAAAGGGAACTGGTAAGCCCAGCAAGACTTAAATGTTGAGTTCTTTAAAAGACGTCACCAATAGGATTTCTACCATCTTCATCTTCGAGCTTCAAAGTTGTTTACTGACAACTTTGATTCTCCTCTATGTAAATTTATCACTTAGGTTCTTGATTGCCTGCCTCCCTTATCAAAAAAAATTGTCTTATTGTTGGTAAAGCTAAAAGAGTTGATCCAATTACACATGGGCTTTAAAAATATAAATATTTTTTTCAGGGGGCACTAACTTTACATGATAGGCTTTTACCCAAATGACAGAATGTATGAACTCCAGTGGGGGGCTATAGGAGGGTGCCAAAGGGGAAGGGGGTATAAAGATGATTTTCTCTATGAAATATTCAAAAATTCAATAAAACATTTAAAAAATATATATTAATAATTTTCAAGTTGATGGTGACATTAATATATATTGTATTGCTACCATATGGGAGTTTTCCTTTATATACTTTAATCATTTAACTCCCTTATGAAATTTATGTTTATGAACTACAGATATTTATGGTATCATCACTTAATATTATTTTTAGAAAAAATATGTAATGATCGCAAAAGAAATAACTTGGAAAATATTTTAGTGCAGTTGAGCACAGGCAGTCTCAGGCTCATCCTTTTCCCTTTGTGCAACCCTGCCTTATTAAAACCTCTAGACCCCAGTGCATTAACTTGCACTGAGGGATGTCTGCGTACACTAACTTGACTCAATGGGCCTTAGCATAAATGACAAAATGCATGAGACCTGTTGGGAGTCTTTGAGAAGGTGAGGATGGGGAGGGGGGTATAAAGATGATTAAGATGTTTTGTATGAAATGCCCAAAGCATACAAATTCTTTGAAGAAAAAAATTAAACATCAAAAATTGAGAAAAATAAAAACAAAAAAAGCTGAATCCTGAAAAACAACACCACCAAAACCCCTCCACACTCCTGCTTTGTTTCTGTAGAACCATTTCAACTGATCTGTCTGCTATTGTTAATCTTGATTGTTTACTGGACAGAATTTTGATTTTTAAATATTTTATTATTTTTACTTTATGTGTATGAATGTGTTAACTGCATGTGTGTAAGTGCACTCATGTCATGCAATACCTGTATAGGTCTGAAGAGGGTGTCAGATTCTCTGGAAATAGAGTTGTGGATGGTTGTTAGCCCCATTAGGGTGCTGGGAATTGAACCTGCAAGAGCAATCAGTGCTCTTAGCCCCTGAACCATTGCCCCAGTCACCAGACAGAATTTTGAATCACCTATCACACAAACCTCTGAATGTGTCTGTGAGGATGTTTCCAGAAAGGATTAACTGAGGAAGGAAAACTCACTCTGAATATGAGTGTCACTATGAACTGAGGTCCAGACTTAGTTAAAAGGAAAAAGGGTACAAAGAACTTCTCTCTTTCTTCCCCTCACTTCCTCCCTCTCTCCCTCCTCCTTTCTCACCCTGTCCTCTCCTTTGTCTTTCTGTGAATTCAGTGTGACCAACTGCCTCATGCTCCAGTCTCTCCCACCATAACTGACTGTACCCTCATACTAAGTTGTGAAGTAAGCCTTTCCTTCTGTAAATTGGTTTTGTCAGGTATTTTGTCAACTCAACAAGAAAATTAACTAATGCACTATCCTAACCTAGAAGCCTAAGAGGTTTTTTCAGCTCAAGGCACCACCAAATGAGTAGAGGATAAAAGGACATGGTATCTATGAAATGCTGATCCCCACTCCAAATCTAACTCAAGCAAAGAAGTCTTAGTACTGGCATGGCCTTAGCAGCTATCTGCCCCATTAGGCAGCTTCATTTCCAGAGATTAAGGTTGCCAATGTATTTTGTAGGGGCCTCTACAACTCTCATTGTTTCTGTTAAATTCATTCATTTATTTTAAAACCTTTTTATTAATTTTATTTTTATTTTATGTATATGACTGTCCTTCCTTCTTGTATATAATTCCACTAGTGTTGTGAAGAGTCCTCACAGGTCAGGAGAGATCGTCAGATCCCCCGGAACTGGAGTTACAGACTGTTCTTCTTCTGACCTTTATGAGCATTGCATGGCACAGTACACTTACACACACGCAGGCAATACACTCACACACATAAAATAAAAATAATAGCCGGGCGTGGTGGCACATGCTTTTCATTCCAGCACTTGGGAGGCAGAAGCTGGTGGATCTCTGAGTTCAAGGCCAGCCTGGTCTACATAGCAAGTTTCAGGCCAGCTGGGGCTACAGGGAAACCCTGTCTCAAAAAGACCAAAATAAAAAGAAAGAAAGAAGAAAGAAAGAGAGAAAGAAAGAAAGAAAGAAAAAGAAAAAGAAAGAAAAAATATTTTAAAAATAAAAATATAGACTCTCAATTTTATTTCTCAGTTGAATATTTATTTATTCATTTATTTGGAAAAGCTCAAACTCCAGAACTGTTGTAAATGATCTAGATTTACAAGAGCTGACTCATATGACTTCTTTCTTAACAATATGTTATCTAAATGTGCAGCTTTTACTTTTTTGTTATTTTGTTGCTGCTATTTTGTTTCTAAAATGCAACTCTTTCTGAAAGTCAAAGCACACAGTTGACAAAGCAAGTTTCTAGTCTATCTCCTATCTCTAAAAATTAATATAATGTATTCTCCTCAGATAGAGGGCATATCAAATATTAAACTGATAAAACCAAATATTACAATATTATATTTGATCTTACCCAAAAGGCTAAGAAATGATGACTATCCAATTTTGATCTGTCCCTAAAGGGTCAGTTTTAATATTTGATGTATTGCAAGAATGTTACTGCTACACTACTCAAAATAGCAAACATTTATGAAAAGCTTGATGACACTTTGAGATAGAATTTATCTCCCAATTCATAGTAAAATGCATGGGCCTTGAGAGATGCTCAGTGGTTAAGAGCCCATACTGCTCTTGCAGAGGACAGTTCAGCTCCTATCACTCACATTGGAGGGCTCACTATTGTCTGTAACTCTAGCTCCTGTGACTCTAATGCCCTCACTTGGCTTCCATGGGCACCTATATGTGAACATACCAACACACAGACACACACATACACATAACTAAAAATTAATCTTTACAAAAACAAAAGGCAGATTAGTACATACAAGCTGAAATAGAGATGCTATTTTGAGTTATTTTAAAAACAATTTCAAAAATAATGTAAAATCAATGATCTAATATTTAAATGTATTTGTGTAGTGCAATTGTGTGTACTTGAATAAAATTAGCCTGGAGAAAATCTCATTGGACTACTACTAGTGGGTTAAAAAGCGGAATGAAAATAATCATTTGTCATCTTCTTTACTTTTTATAATATTTTTCATGAGATTATACGCATGATTAAAATAAAAATACTTTTTAGTTAAAAGTTTGTGAAACTTGGGTGGACAAGATGGCTCAACAGGTGAAATCACTTGCCACACAAGCCTGACAACCCCAGTTCTAGCAACAGAGACCACAGTGGAAGGAGAGCGCTAACTGCTGCTAGGTGCTTTCTGATCTCCACACACAGTCTTTGGCCTACACCAGCACTCAGGTACATCACAAATACACATAATAATAATAACAATAAAGTATGCTTCAAATTTTCTGAAACTTTGGTTTTCACTGAAAAGTTTCCAAAATCTTTGCCTCTTCATAGACTATAGGAAACAAATAGTCCATAATCAATGAGTGCTGTCTACTAACCTGTGTCTGGCACATTTCTGGAATAAGTGCATGTACCAAATAAGATAAAGCACAAACAACTTTTTTTTTCTGAGTAGCTCTATTATCTTCCTCATTTAATTACTGTGAAAACTAAGATATACAAGCAGTTTAATGACTTGTCCAAAGTCACAGAGCTAATAAGTTGTAGAACTGGTATTCAAATTGTTTACTTCAAGGTCCCACATACTGCAAATGAACACATTGTCTAAATGCCTTCCAGGACACACCAATATTTCAGGTATAGTTTGACAGAGCAGAGCTTGTCACTCAAGCTCTTATTCATAAATTATATAAATTTAATCTTAAAAAATCTTCAAGAAATTTTTATGCTAGCCCAAATAGCTCTTTTATTTGGAAGCAAATAACCCACAAAGAATTTTCCATATCTTTTAATGCAAGATTCTATTAAGACTTAGGAATTTATAGATTTACCTCTATGCAAGATTTAAAAAAAAAAAAGCCAATAACTGTCTTTTCAGCCAAAGAAACACTCCAGTTTCAAAGCTTTCTTGTGGTAGATGCCAAAGCCATGCGTTAAAGAAAGCTGAGGTCATTGTATCTTCTATGGAAGTAAGAAAAGATGATTTTGTAAACTTAAAGAACAAAGGCTATCCGAATGTCCTGAAGACATGCTTTGTAAGGTCAGGTGCTTCTCTTATCAAGTCTGACCACAGAAGGCATGTCTGTGAAAAATCGTTCATTGCTAGGTCATCTGGTTTTAGTAGGGAAAGACAGTATTTCTGAACATGATTGTTTCAGAATTTTCCCTCTACAGCTTCCTAGTCTTTGCATCATTATAACAGCATTAATCAAGGCAGGGCTCAATTTTGACAAGAATAAGATCCTAATGTTACCATGAGTACTTTCCAGGTGATTGCATAATCACGACAAAAGAGATCCCTATGCTCTGAGATTAAATCAATATATAAATTTCACATATTCACCAAGGGCTGAAATGCAGCAGGTTTTCCTTTGTGTTCAAGTGTAAGCATTTATAATTCTTAGCCTAATTCATTCACTCAAACAGGAGTTTATCTGGAGGGCATTTTCAAGACATCAAACCAAATTACACTTTGTTCTTTCTTTTGCTTTTGTTTTTGTTTCCATAACAAGTGTAACTCAATACATTATATGTTTCTTTATCTGGGAAATTCCTAAAGTTGTTAAAACAGATTTCCAACATGCCTTAAACAGAGCATTAAAAGCATATAAAAAAACTATTGCTCATCTCCAAATTATCAATGGAATACATTGAAAGGAAGGAAGGAAAGTTTACACTTGGGCTTTTAATTCTGCTTAAAGAACAGAATTCAGTCAAGAAATATAATAGATGGTCAAGTAAAACTTAGAGAATAGTAATTTAAGAGAACAACCAGCTTCTGAACAAGTGCGCCAATAGGTTCTTACAATCTGGGCTTCACGGTGATGTGGGTAAGCAGTCAGGTAATAGCTGGAGCTATCTGGTGAACGATTCTAGCCTAATTGGAAAACTCCAGGACAGTGAGAAACCCTTCCTCAAAGGAGGTGGGCAGTGATCCTGAGGATGAGGACCAAGGTTGTCCTTTTCTCTTCACATATGCACACATGTTCATGCACACACAAGCACACACACAAATTTGCACACACATATACACATATTATTAAAGTATAAATAGTAAGTAACTCCTTTGCTTTTTCCTGTTCTTTATGCCTAATAATCTGAGATAATCAGTAAGGGGTCACAAAACACAAGATTATTTTCACCAGGTAAGAATATGAGATTAGTTCTCTCCTACCTGCAGGCCTCTCTCAAGGGTAAGTACATTGTGCCCTCCAAGTCTTGACTCTCCCAGCCTCATTCACCCTCCCATCTCCACCTCTGTTCTCTCCTCCGAGTTTGGGCCATGCCCCATTCCTTGTCTTAGGGCCTCAGACACCTGGGGAACCAATGCTGCTCCCTGATCCTTTCATCCAGATCAAGGTATTGCCTTCTCTGGCCCCAGGAACTCTGCCTCTGGGCCTGGCCCCACCCTCCCCTCCCTCTGCTTCCCTGGGCCTGAAGGACCCTCCACCAGCCTCCCTCCTACCCACAGGCCTCTCTCCAGGGTAAGTCCCTTGCGTCATCCAAGCCTTGATCCCCCAGCTTCATTCACCTTCCAATCTCTGCTGCCATACTCTCCTCCAAGTTTGGGCCCTGCCCCACTCCTTGTCTTGGGGTCCCAGACACCTGGGAAACCAATACTGCTCCCTGATCCTTTTCATCCAAACCAACCGAGTGCCTTCTCTGGGCCCCAGGTGCACTACTTCTGGGCCTGGCCCCATCCTCAACTCCCTCTGCTTCCCTGGGCCTATACCACCCACCAGTCTCTTTTTGGGATGCTGGGGCTGACCTTTCCTCTTCCTGATCCTTTGCATACAGACCAACCCATCTCCTCAGTGCAGTCCCCAGGAGGCCTTGGGGCCTCTTCTCACCCCATCTGCCTTTGCATCTCTTGGTGGCAAGGCCACCAGCTGCCCTAGACCAGCATCTTTCCTGAGACAAGCTCCCAGGTCAATCCAACCCCTAAAATTCCTGAGGCCAGAATTGTTCCTGGAGGGATGCAGACCTTAGGAGAAAGCCTGAAACCATCTGACCCTCACCTGAATTGGGGCTCTGTGGGAACTCATGAAGACAAAAGCAATCCCACCACTCCAATATAAAATCAAAAGAGAGAACTGGAAGCTTAGATGAACCAGCTTTTCATGCCCAAAAGTAAACCACAAAAACACATAAAGTTCACAAAAAGAAGCAGACCTAAACTTGAAGGCCTGAGTCTCACACAAGAATCAGAAACTACAAAAGACATTCATATGTCAAATTCACAGAGACAAAATAATAAAATGAAAAACCAAAATAACATACCCCCACCAAATACCAATAGTACTCTAGAGGAGTACAATGAGGAGCCCCTAAAGATAATGCAGGACATTGAACTCAAAAGAACAATTATAAACATAATAAAAGAATTCAGTGAATTTAAAGAACACACAAACAAGGTAATCATAGAGCTGAAGGAAGAT